CCAGTTCCTGGTCCCCAGTTCCTGGTCCCCAGTTCCTGGTCCCCAGTTCCTGGTCCCCAGTTCCTGGTCCCAGTTCCTGGTCCCCAGTTCCTGGTCCCCAGTTCCTGGTCCCCAGTTCCTGGTCCCAGTTCCTGGTCCCCAGTTCCTGGTCCCCAGTTCCTGGTCCCAGTTCCTGGTCCCCAGTTCCTGGTCCCCAGTTCCTGGTCCCCAGTTCCTGGTCCCCAGTTCCTGGTCCCAGTTCCTGGTCCCCAGTTCCTGGTCCCCAGTTCCTGGTCCCCAGTTCCTGGTCCCCAGTTCCTGGTCCCCAGTTCCTGGTCCCCAGTTCCTGGTCCCCAGTTCCTGGTCCCCAGTTCCTGGTCCCAGTTCCTGGTCCCCAGTTCCTGGTCCCCAGTTCCTGGTCCCCAGTTCCTGGTCCCAGTTCCTGGTCCCAGTTCCTGGTCCCCAGTTCCTGGTCCCCAGTTCCTGGTCCCCAGTTCCTGGTCCCCAGTTCCTGGTCCCCAGTTCCTGGTCCCCAGTTCCTGGTCCCCAGTTCCTGGTCCCCAGTTCCTGGTCCCCAGTTCCTGGTCCCCAGTTCCTGGTCCCAGTTCCTGGTCCCCAGTTCCTGGTCCCCAGTTCCTGGTCCCCAGTTCCTGTCCCCAGTTCCTGGTCCCCAGTTCCTGGTCCCCAGTTCCTGGTCCCCAGTTCCTGGTCCCAGTTCCTGGTCCCCAGTTCCTGGTCCCCAGTTCCTGGTCCCCAGTTCCTGGTCCCCAGTTCCTGGTCCCCAGTTCCTGGTCCCAGTTCCTGGTCCCCAGTTCCTGGTCCCCAGTTCCTGGTCCCCAGTTCCTGGTCCCCAGTTCCTGGTCCCCAGTTCCTGGTCCCCAGTTCCTGGTCCCCAGTTCCTGGTCCCCAGTTCCTGGTCCCCAGTTCCTGGTCCCCAGTTCCTGGTCCCCAGTTCCTGGTCCCCAGTTCCTGGTCCCCAGTTCCTGGTCCCCAGTTCCTGGTCCCAGTTCCTGGTCCCCAGTTCCTGGTCCCCAGTTCCTGGTCCCCAGTTCCTGGTCCCCAGTTCCTGGTCCCCAGTTCCTGGTCCCCAGTTCCTGGTCCCCAGTTCCTGGTCCCAGTTCCTGGTCCCCAGTTCCTGGTCCCCAGTTCCTGGTCCCCAGTTCCTGGTCCCCAGTTCCTGGTCCCCAGTTCCTGGTCCCCAGTTCCTGGTCCCCAGTTCCTGGTCCCCAGTTCCTGGTCCCCAGTTCCTGGTCCCCAGTTCCTGGTCCCCAGTTCCTGGTCCCCAGTTCCTGGTCCCCAGTTCCTGGTCCCCAGTTCCTGGTCCCCAGTTCCTGGTCCCCAGTTCCTGGTCCCCAGTTCCTGGTCCCCAGTTCCTGGTCCCCAGTTCCTGGTCCCCAGTTCCTGGTCCCCAGTTCCTGGTCCCCAGTTCCTGGTCCCCAGTTCCTGGTCCCCAGTTCCTGGTCCCCAGTTCCTGGTCCCAGTTCCTGGTCCCCAGTTCCTGGTCCCCAGTTCCTGGTCCCCAGTTTCCTGGTCCCCAGTTCCTGGTCCCCAGTTCCTGGTCCCCAGTTCCTGGTCCCCAGTTCCTGGTCCCCAGTTCCTGGTCCCCAGTTCCTGGTCCCCAGTTCCTGGTCCCAGTTCCTGGTCCCCAGTTCCTGGTCCCCAGTTCCTGGTCCCCAGTTCCTGGTCCCCAGTTCCTGGTCCCCAGTTCCTGGTCCCCAGTTCCTGGTCCCCAGTTCCTGGTCCCCAGTTCCTGGTCCCCAGTTCCTGGTCCCCAGTTCCTGGTCCCCAGTTCCTGGTCCCCAGTTCCTGGTCCCAGTTCCTGGTCCCCAGTTCCTGGTCCCCAGTTCCTGGTCCCCAGTTCCTGGTCCCCAGTTCCTGGTCCCCAGTTCCTGGTCCCCAGTTCCTGGTCCCCAGTTCCTGGTCCCCAGTTCCTGGTCCCCAGTTCCTGGTCCCCAGTTCCTGGTCCCCAGTTCCTGGTCCCCAGTTCCTGGTCCCCAGTTCCTGGTCCCCAGTTCCTGGTCCCCAGTTCCTGGTCCCCAGTTCCTGGTCCCCAGTTCCTGGTCCCCAGTTCCTGGTCCCCAGTTCCTGGTCCCCAGTTCCTGGTCCCCAGTTCCTGGTCCCCAGTTCCTGGTCCCCAGTTCCTGGTCCCAGTTCCTGGTCCCCAGTTCCTGGTCCCCAGTTCCTGGTCCCCAGTTCCTGGTCCCCAGTTCCTGGTCCCCAGTTCCTGGTCCCCAGTTCCTGGTCCCCAGTTCCTGGTCCCCAGTTCCTGGTCCCCAGTTCCTGGTCCCCAGTTCCTGGTCCCCAGTTCCTGGTCCCCAGTTCCTGGTCCCCAGTTCCTGGTCCCCAGTTCCTGGTCCCAGTTCCTGGTCCCCAGTTCCTGGTCCCCCAGTTCCTGGTCCCCAGAATTCCTGGTCCCCAGTTCCTGGCGTCCCCAGAATTCCTGTCCGATCCTCAGTTCCTGTTCCCCAGTTCATGGTCCCCAGTTCCTGGTCCCCAGTTACTGGTCCCAGTATTCCTGGCTCCCCAAGCTTCCTGGTCCCCAGTTCCTGAGTCCCCAGTTCCTGGTCCCCAGTCCTGCGCCCAGTTCCTGACTTCCCCAGTTCCTGGTCCCCAGTTCCTGGTCCCCAGTTCCTGGTCCCCAGTTCCTGGTCCCCAGTTCCTGCGTCCCCAGTTCCTGGTCCCCAGTTCCTGGTCACCAGTTTCCTGGTCCCCAGTTCCTGGTCCCCAGTTCCTGGCTCCCCGTTCAGTCCCCCGTTCTGGTCCCCAGTTCCTGGTCCCCAGTTCCTGGTCCCCAGTTCCTGGTCCCCAGTTCCTGGTCCCCAGTTCCTGCGTCCCCAGCTTACCTGGTCCACAGTTCCTGGTCCCCAGTTATCTGGCCCCAGTTACTGGTCCCAGTTCCTGCCCGTCCCCAGTTCCTGGTCCCCAGCTTCCTGCGTCCCCAGTTCCCTGCGTCCCCAGTTACCTGGTCCCCAGTCCTTCCTGAGTCCCCAGTTCCTGAGTCCCCAGTTCCTGGTCCCCAGTTCTGGTCCCCAGTTCCTGGTCCCCAGTTCCTGGTCCCCAGTTCCTGGTCCCCAGTTCCTGGTCCCCAGTTCCTGGTCCCCAGTTCCTGGTCCCCAGTTCCTGGTCCCCAGTTCCTGGTCCCCAGTTCCTGGTCCCCAGTTCCTGGTCCCCAGTTCCTGGTCCCCAGTTCCTGGTCCCCAGTTCCTGTCCCAGTTCCTGGTCCCCCAGTTCCTGGTCCCCGTCCTTCCAGGGACACAGGTGAGACTGACTGACCTGCAGTTTCCTAGATCCATCAGAAGGTTGTCCTCAACGCATTGTAGGAACCGTTTCGACTGCTTGTGCTTGTTCGAATTGCTTACGCAGCAGATGTCTGGGTAATTGAAGTCCCCCATGTGGACCAGTGCTCGTGATTGTGAGGCTACTAGCAGCTGCTCGTAGAAGGCCTTGTTGACTTCCTCCTCCTGATCTGGAGACCTGTAGTAGACCCCCACCACCATCTCTCCCATACCAGCCCACCCCTTAATTCTTACCCACAAGCTCTCCACCTGTCCATCACCCTCCCCCAGCTGGAGCTGGGTACACTCTAATTGCTCCCTCACATAAAGGGCAACCCCACCCCCTCGTTTCCCCAGCGTGCCTCTCCTAAAGAGAACATGTTTGATCCACATCTTGACTGCGTTCCAGTCATGTGAGCTGTCCCACCATGTCTCAGTGATCGCAATGAGATCGTGGCCCCGCAACCGAACACAGATCTTGAGCTCATCGTGTTTATTTCCCATGCTCCGTGCACTGGTGTACAGGCACTTTAGGGAAGCAGCAGGTACAGTTACCCTGGGGGGATGCAAGAAGAAGATACTGGACGGGGGATTGGGAATGCTACCTTCTCTGAGGAGCCCTCAGACAATCCTATGGGAGAGCTCAGAAGTTTTTCCCTGTCTTCAACAGTGACAGTGGTGTGAAATGTGTTCATCTGATCCGTGGCAGTATGGAACAATGCTAGGGCTGCATGGTATGATGAATGTGACCTTCTGTCCTACAGACCCTTCTATAAGCACAAGTCTAAGAAAAACAGAGTGGTTAATGTACATGTATGTAGTTCTTGTACCTTGCAAAGGAATGTTTTAGCAATTTGTGTCAATAGAGAGCTTGAAGGGAAATGTATTTGTAGGCTTTTACTTGAAGTCTCTGATATCTGGGGGCTTCAGAATAGCTGCTAACTATTATGACTATTGCATGGGACACTATGCAAGTCTCTGGTATCTGGCCAGGAGACTAAGGAGACGGGGAAAGCTGAAGAATGACTAAAAGACAAAGCTTGCAGGGGATGCTGCACAAGTCTCTTACAGCCAAGCTGGACAAAGGAGAAGGACCAGAGGGAGGAAGACTATGAGCCTTCAGCATGAGAGACCCCCAGAGGGACCACCGGAGACTGTTACGCATGCTCCAGTAGGAGGGTTTGGATTCCGGAAACTAATTATAATCACCCTGGTTTTTTTAGAAGCAGTAATGAATATGTGTTAGCCTAGGAGCATAAAAATCAGCTGCTTGATGCAACTGGTGTGCATCTTGGTGGAGCAGAGACTCGCGGCGCACCCAGCGCTGTTTGCTTACCTCTATTCCTTTAATAAATTGTAAACTTTGATTGTAACCCTATTTGGGACTCAGTCATTTATAACAATACCTATAGTCTGCTGCAGGCTGAAAAGTAGCCTGTGCCTCAGGTGCTGTTTTCTGCCTTTGCTTTTGTTACTACATCCCTGTAAGTCTTCAAAAGGGAAATGAAGTTATCCTATTCAGAAAAAAACACCATACAGAAGAAACTTTGGTTGTTTTCAGGGTCTGAATTCTCACTGAAACCAAAGGCGGGTATAGAATCATAGATTATCCCGAGTTGGAATGGTCCCCTAAGGATCATTGAGTCCAACTCCTGGCACCACACACGTCTACCCAAAAATTCAGACCATGTGACTAAGTGCACAGTCCAAATGCTTCTTAAATGCCGACAGGCTTGGTGCAGTGACTACTTCCCTGGGGAGCCTGTTCCAGTGTGCGACAACCGTCTCAGTGAAGAACCTCTTTCTGATGTCTAGCCTAAGCCTCCCCTGCCTCAGGTTGACGCCATTCCCTTGGGTCCTATCACTGGGGACTGAAGAGAATAGATCGGTACCTGCCCGTCCACTCCCCCTCGCAAGGAAGCTGTAGACTGCGACGAGGTCTCCCCTCAGCCACCTTGTTTCCAGGCTGAACAGGCCCAGTGACCTCAGCCGCTCGTCATACGTCTTCCCCTCTAGGCCGTTTGCCATCTCTGTAGCCCAGTATCTTACTGACTTGAAGAAAGAGGCTTTAATCTATCCTGGTTTGTTTACTAACGAAGGAGCACAAAAGAGACGCCTGTCCTTGCCTCTGAAGAGGAGGTGAAGGAAGAGCCAGTGTAAGGAACACAAAAATCATTTGCGCCAGGCTAACACGTGGTTGTATCTGAGCTTGGAGACTGCAACCCTTTTCAGACTTCCAGAGCTAGAGGAACACTTTGGCTGCAGCCTAAAAGCCACGTGTACATAAGCTCCCTCAAGCCAGCCAATCTTCTTGCCATGACCTGCCAGGAAACAGCAATGTGGGCATGTAACCAAATCAAAGCCCAGACCTTCAGCCCAGTCCTTGGCCTGAACAGTGAGTGAGGATCTGGATCCTGGCATTTATACAGTGATAGCTTATAGGCAGCGGAAGTAAATAGTGTAGTCAGAGGTCACGGGGCTAGATTTTGAAAAGTCCTGCATAAGGAAGACATCTCAGAAAAGCAGATTTAAATAACATTAATGCTAAGAAAAGTGATTCTGATTGCTATATTCTTTATGTGTCGTGACTAGACAGATGAAAATCTATGATAGCAATTTTGCCTTTAAGGTCATTTTCTTTGATTTCTCTGTCTGTCTGTCTATTTATTTATTTATTTTAACAGGTTCTGTAGTAATTTTCCTGACAGAATGGCTAACAGAAATACGACCCTTGTGCAGCTTTTGTAGTTAATTCATTAGGTCAACTCTAACCACTAAGCCCCTTGTCAGGTTATTTCTATTAGTGATAAGGAGCAATTGATCTTAAAAGACTGAAGCCAGGTAGAGGAGCCTATTCCACAAGGTCTCTTGGCTCCACCCTTGTGAAGTGAAATCTGCCAGGTGTGGGTCATTTGACCTTTGCTATATAGGAAGCTTGAGGAGCTGTGGGTCATTGCCTTCCCAGGGGGAGTTTGAGGCTGAGGTTGTCTAGGGTGCTTTTCTGCTGTGGTGGTGAAGTGGGCTCAGTGTTCCCCAGTGGGCTGCTTTTTCTTCGTGTTTTCTGCCATCTTTGTGAAATGGTTTTAGTGACTCTATGAGCTAGCTATGTTGGCGGTGCCTTCTCAGTGCAGTAGAACCCTGGTGGTGCAACTTCCCTGTGAAGCAGTGTGGAAGTGACTCAGGTTCAGAAGCTGGTAGGTAAGTGTTCCTGGGTTCTACAGTTCTTTAATGTTGAGGAGTTGGAGTACTTCCTTCAGCTTGTCTGTTTTCAATGAAACTACTCATGGATTCTAAGCTCCCTTTCCAGCCCTTAAAAACATAATAGTAATAATAGTAAATAAACCCCACCAAGTCAGAAGCTCCAGTGCTTACAGGTAAGCCTGACTTCCAAGAATGTTCTTAACTACTTGTTAAGGTTGAACATCAGGCAGTGTGAAAAAGGTGCCTTAACGTGAACTCAAACTATGCCTTGTGGTAAGTAGAAACAGACTGGGAGAGATACTGGTGGCATTATCGTAACTTTCACTAAGTGGAAGTCGTGAGACTGTGCTGTTCATAAAAGAAATGCCGTTTTCACAGCATGTGAGTCAAAAGCAGTACAAAGAAAGCCTCTCCTCTTCCCTACAGGCCTGCATGTCTTGGCTGCGGAGAAAGTTTTGGAAGAGGTCCACCAACTGAGAGAATTGATCTTCCTCCCCACCTGTAGAAACCAGTGCCTGAGGTATCGAAAAAGTGTCCTTCTGTGAAAGGAAGATGACAGAGCGGGAACAGGGCCTGTGCCACCCTGCGGTTTTGCCAAGGTGACGGTGCAGAGGATGGGAGATAAAAGGACAGAAAACTGAGGCAGACACTTAAAGGCATTGTTACATGAGTTGTGAATAAAAACAAAGGGGCGGGAAAAGGGGTTGCGTGAGAAATGTGCTGCTCCAAATGACACAGGGCAGTCATTAGGGTGGGCTGGGGACCTGATCTGTTCATCCCCTTTTTGTAAGAAGGATTTAATAGGACAGGGAGAAAGTTTATTTTGGTCTTAATACCCTGACCCCTGTGCACAAACCCATGAGAGACAAACCCAAGCAATCACTGCATTCAGGCCTATTTTCTCCATATACATTTGACATCAATAGGAAGGCAATTGTGCTGCTTTGTATACTGAAGGTTATAACTCACTGTAAAGGAAGGACCTCTCTTGTTCTTTTCTATTCTCTATACTGCACTCACTATATTAATATTTTAATCTCTTCCAAAAAAATGAGGTAAGTGTGATGGCTATTATCATTTAACCCCTGCCTTAACAATATTGGGGAAATATTGTTAATGAGTTCTTATGTTTTAGCCTGTCTTGCATACAAAATACAAGGTGGTGACTTTGTGTGACCCTTTCTGCAACAAATGTTTTTGTATTTTCTACTTTGACCTATGCTTACAGAATTTTGTTTATCTATGTATATGTTATCCTGGTAGAGTATAGCAAAAACACAACTCTGTTACACCATAACCTCATATCCTTTGTCCCCTAGCTTTCAGGTTGACATGATGTCACAGAATACTGAGATCTTAGATTTAACTTTGAATCTATGAAAAAGCAATATGGGGAAGTGGAGAATGAGTTTTCTGTGCCTGGAACTGATTCTGATTCCCCAAAGATGAGTAACTGGTTAGAGCTTCTGGAGAACTGCAGTGCTTTGCTGTAAGCTAGGTAAAATGGAATGTTATAATCTACTGCAATTCAAGAAAGACAACTGCCTGACAGCAAGCATTTGTCCCAGATGCAAAGATGCAAGAGCATCAGTGAGAATCCACAAACAGTCTTCAGTTATAGACTGAGTTGGTCACTTCAGAGTTGTGTTTTCATTCAGAGTAGACTTACTGCCTCCATGAGCTCTTCAAGTAGCATCACCTACTTGTTTGCATCAGCTTCAGCCAGCGTTTATTTGTGAGTTGCTGCTGTCAAAAGAATAAGCTATCTTGATGCTACTGAGTATGGTCAGATGCAGTGAAGTGTAGCTCACACTTGTCTTAATATTGCCTAAATGGTTCTCCTAAAGGCTGCATCTGGAAACTGAAAAGGCAGGTGGGAGACAGAGCTTTCACATGACTCAATGTAAATCAAGGATTTGGTAGCAATAGGACTGCTTCCAACCACTCTTGAGTTTGCACCCTCTGGGGCGACTGAAACCTAAACACTCAAAGTACAAATATAGCGGTGATAAATTTAGCATATACTCTGGGTAGAGAATATAGCAGTGAAAAACATCTCTTAGAGCTCTAATATATGCACTTTTGAAATACAGTGCACTAAATCCCTCTTCATTCCCAGAAGTATCACAGTAGTCTTCCAGCCAGTACTGTCCTCTCCTTGTATACCTCCTAATTTACTGAGAACAACAGGCAGATAAGAGAAAATTTCATTTTGCTATTCTGTCAGTCACTAATGTGTCTGCTGGCTTAATTATCAGTTCATTGCACAAAGACAGCCAAACGAGTAAACTTGAGCTGTTAATCTTTGTCTTCCTGGGACAGATTCAAATTAATATTCTGGTTTTCAATTCTTCCCACGTTCATTTGTAGTGGGTCTGGATCTAGCATTCTCCCTCTTCTGCATGGAATTTTTGTTCTTTCTAGCAGCTGCTAGATATTGAACAGCTAATTATATTTATGCAGTGTTTTATTCTTACCAAATGATCTGGACAGAATTTAATATTAATTACCTGTTGTTCTAAGCTTTGCATTTAACATTTCCAGATCTTTGACCTGCTCAATACCACCCATAATTTAGGGCATAACCTCTGATACTTTTTTAACTTCCTTATTCTAACTTTTTAGACATTTTACATTTATCACTTCTAAGACATATACATACCATTTTTTTTCCCATTTATTTCCCATCCAAAGGAGTGTATTTTATGCCTTCCTGTTCCTGACCGGCTGTTCCCTGCAGTCCTGACACATCAAATTGCACACCTCAAAGCTTTCTCAGTTTTCAAGTTCATTTATATGACAAAGATGAGGACCTAATGCTAAGCTCTGTGCTGCTGCATTTGTCATCTTCCTTTAACATTTACGATCATTCTCTGACTTTGTAAGCAAGCAATTTTGTTAGCCAGATGAGTATTACTTCCTTACCTTCTTACCCTATTCATTAATAATGTATTTGGTACTGTATTAAAAGCTTCCTTGGAATCCAAGTGAATAATGTATACTTGTTTATTCTTGCCTGGTTTTGTTGTCATTTCCTCAAAGAAACTAAGCAAATTTGTTATGCATTATTTTCATTTTGGTGATCTTCACACTGAAATATTAAAAATTCTATTTACATGGAGGGTCTGGGCAGTTTAACAAAGCAGAAACATTTTTCTTGTATTTTTAGATACCTTTCATAATCCCATAAGCATCATTTAATATTTTACTGAGACATTAAATAAAGCAATGTATTTGGTACAGTACCCAATGCAAAAAATACAATTTCACAAAATAGAAAAGGAACTACAGCCTAATAGAGAACAAAGCAGATTCCATCAAGAAATACTTTGAAATGTCATGAAACATATATTTTATACACAAAAATCTGCCAATCAAGTTTTTACATCAGTTACAGTTTCGTAAAGTACCCTGGGGTGCGACTCTGTAGCAATGTGAAGACAACAAACGAAATACGAGTCTGCAAAAATGTCACAAACACATAAAATCCAAAAAGCACCCATTAAATTTGATGGGGGAAGAATTACTGCTCCAAATTATTAGGCTGTTATATATTTAGAACTGGAATTCCTTTAAAACTCGTTGCCATTGAAAGCCCTATGAATTCAACAGGGATTCACAGTGAAAAGAAGCCTGACTGGAGATGTTTGCTGCACGCTGCTCTTTGCATCTCACTGGAAGTTCTGCGGGCATGTTAAGGGCAATATAGATTTCAGAGCAACACTTTTTTTTTCTTAGGTACTTCATACTTTTTTCTTCCTCTTCTTTTATTGATACAGAGTTTAACAAGAAACAGAAAAATAGGAGTTCTCTTCTTTTTGACTGCTTGAAATCAGAACGAGGCCTATTTCCAGCCAGAGCGTTACTGCTCTGTATGCAAAGCATGGTCCCATAAACTTGATCACTATGGCCAACTTCACAAATCAGTAGTCAGGCTCTAGCTTAGAGGACAGGTTCTCTAGCCCTTTGTGTGACTTAATGCTTTTATTATGCTGGCTGACGTCCTACCATTGCTGCTTGAGGTTTTCTGGACCCTGAATGACAATCACAAGTGGTCTCTTGGACCATTCAAGCCCAAAGCTTCCTGAACCACACTAGATGTATCTGTAACTGGGGAGCCAAATACTGACAGAGTTGATGTCTCATACATAGTATTGAACCAGTGGGTAACTTTCGTGTCATACTTTATCTCCTTTCAAAGACAAGACCTAGTTTGTATTGTATGTTCTAGGGACTTTGCCAGTCTCTGGGACTTAAGCCATTCTTCACAAGAAACCTCTGTCCCTCTAACCATTAATTTGATGTTATTACCAACACACATACTGTCATCCCATAACTGACTCCCATTTCCAAATCATTTATGCTGAAGAACATGTCTGAAAACACTGAATCTTCGCTTGCAACGTCCTCCACTATGAAAGCTCACCATTTACTTTGATGCTTTCTTTTTTATCTTTTAACCAACTATTTATCCATGCAAGTAGCTTTCATTTGATGCCTTCACTGTTTATGCTCAGAATCCCCTATCCTAATGCTGTCTTTGGAAAGCTTTTTAAAGCCTGCCCTCCACATCCATGGAGTCCCACCATGCCTGTCAGCATTTTATTTAAACAAATCATAATCATGGCCTAGCCAAAGCTCAGGTTCAAATGCTCCAAAAAGAATAATAAAGCAGATATTGTTGTGGAATTTACTTGTGACAGGTCTTTTCTGTTTTCTAGACATCTTCTTCCACATTGAATCAAGAAGCACACCCTTTTCAACTACCTTTTCTGAACTTTGTCAAAGGCCAACATGAAGCTTAGGCTGAAGCCTCATAGTGTGCTTAAGGCCCATCAAGTAGTGTTCTCTGTGGGAAACCCCTGGACACCTGCCCTGTCCTTTCTTGGATTCCCTTTTCTACCATCAGTCTCATCACGCCCTGTAAGCGTTCTGGCTTATCACACCTTAACCCCAGCCCTCAGGACTAGCCCAAGCCTGAGGCTGGATGCAAATTACATTTAAGTCCTGTTATGGGCAGAAGGGATCGTGCCTTATAGAAGGAGGTAAGAATGCACTGTTAGTCCCTTTAATGTTTTAACAACCTAATGGTAGAAATCATCCCATTAATGCAGAAAGAATACATTAACAATACAGTTAAAATCATTGTATATAAACTTGTTTGTATCTACTCAATTTCTCTGGTGCTGTGCTCACCTTCTGTATGTACCACTGGGTCCTAAGGTCAACAAATTCCATCTTCCCCCACCTTCCTGGACAAATTGCAGCAGAAGTGGGGGTGTTACGAGTCCCTGGCCTCCCACATCTTTGCTCGTAGGAGTTTGATGTTCGTGGGGGAGAGGAGGTCATTCCCCTCTGTTTTGGGGTCTGCTTGTGTTTTCTTACTACAGTCTGCATCCTTCTCATTGAAATCTGCCCCACAAATTCTCACAACCTCTTTTAAAGTAAAATAAATAAAAAGCTATTGTGAGAGTATGGGTATCAGGCTTTTACAGTGTAAAGTATCCACAGAGCCAAACTCAACCCAATTAGGCATGTGATCACTAAAAGACAATTGTAATATCCTGAAAAAAATCCCAAATCAGCTCAAGTCAAGACAGGCCCAGGTAACTCCTGTTAACTCCTGCACTGCCAGGTCACTACACAGTTTCTGGCCTTTTACTAGTATTGGCAAAATCATATTTACTGAGCTACATCCGAATGCACTGAAAAGCTTTCATCAGAGTTGTAAGGTGGTGCTTTCCTAAGCAGGATGCTAACTCTTCCCAGATAAATCAGATCTGTCCAGGTGTCCCCTAATTCTGTTCCTTATCATTGTTTCTAGTTATTTGCCATGTCAGACTTACATTGCTACCATTCCCCAGATTTTCTCTGGAACCTTTTTAAGGAATTGATGTCACATCTGCTGCCTTCCAGAAGCAAGGCAATTTAAAGCAATAGGTTACACCCTGCTGTGAGTAATTCAGCTCTTTCGTCCTTGAGTTCCTTTAGAAATTTGGAGTGAATACTAGACAATCCTGATGATTTTCACTTTATCTATTTACTCCATAATCTCTTCTACAATAATTTCAATTTCAGACTGATCTTCTGATGGGTCCCCTGCCAAGAAGGGTTCTGGTTTCAGAATCTTCCCAGTTCCTTCCACAGTGAACACCAATGCAGAGTTCACATAGTGTTTCTGCAACGACCCTGTCTTCTCTGAGTACTCTTTTATGCCCTGAAAACCAACTGGTCTGACAGATTCTAGCAAAATTCCTGCCCCTGATGTATTTTGTAGAGGAAAGGATTAGTAATTTTTATTCCTTTGTTACTTATTCTTCTGGTGCTTTTTGGTCTGCCTTGGTACGCTTTCACATTTAACCTGCCAGAGTTTGTAACTATTTCTTCTTGTGTCATTTGAACATGACTTCAGCATTTTCAAAGATGTATTTTTGCTTCTAACAACCTCTGTTACCCTGCCGATTAGTTACACGAGCTTTCTTTTACCCTTTCTGAAGTCCTTCTCTAGAGAAAGCACGTTTTTCTAGTACAAATCCTTAAGCAGATTCCTTGGTGCCTGTACAGAGTTGAGACTGACTTTTAACAAATGTCCTCTGTCTTACTTTGTTACTCTTTTTTTTAATTAAAATAAAACCGTAGGGAAGAAGTGCCCAGGAGTAAGCTCCTAGCTGTTCCTTGACCATGCTCTAGTCTAGGAGATTGCTGGCAGGGATCCCTTCCTCACAGCTGTGTCTGTAGAGAACCAAAAAATGAAAACGTGGGGAGGTAGGTGCATGTGCTGCCGGGCTTCCCAGGCTTTTATCTGCCTTTGCTTTGTCCCCTTACTGCTGTGGATAATCCACCCAGCCGCCTCGTATTTCTCTCTCTCAAAACACTGTAAGTTTTTTTGAATGGTTGACCCTGTTTGCATTTTTTTTGGCACCTTTACTGCCATTTTGGGACTGTGGTAGTGGGGAGTAACTAGACTTTGTCTGCTGCCATGCCTGAAATGACAATGGTAATCGGGGTGATGCTTTGCTCAGTAAGGCTGTAGCAGATAGGAGCCCGTGCCTTTGGCTTCCCTGCTAAGGCACCAGGGAGAGCTCCTCATGGTGCCTGCTCAGTGACCCAGCTCCTTCACAAGCCTTTCACATACAGGGGCAGTTGTGACAATTACAATGAACACTAATGAGATTGTGCAGAAGGAAGGTGTAGGGCTCTCCTCATATCAGTGGAGGGACTGTACACACTGCAGGTAACTCAGCCTCCAGTCAGGCTGGCAGAGGGTCTCCTGCTAGGGGTGACGGCCTGCTGCTCCCAAGTGTACCATGCCTTATGGTGCGAGAGAACTGCCATCCGGTCTGGGGAATCTCTATCATTGCTAAGAATTCTGATACTTTTAAAAATTATGAGGTGTAAAAATAACAATAGATGGGGATTCGTCTCATTTTCTTTCTAGGCTAGATCTTTAGACTTCTTTTCTAAGGATCCTTACTACTCAGGTTTCTCTGCAACCCAGCTCAGAAGCCTTTTGAAGAATTGCTGAGGAAAACCTGAAAAGATGTCAGCTGAAAGACGAAATTCAGAAGCAAGAACTTTTTTCCATGCTATGGCACTTTCCAAATGAGGGCAACCGGTAAGAAAATTGAAAGTTTGGTTTCCGCTTACCATATTAATTAAAAAAAAAAAAAAGTCAAATGTGAGAATAAACATGTAGGATTAAGCCATTCTGACATATTCTAAATTTGGGATGAAAGAGATAAGCTTGTCACAGTGTGCTCCCACAGAACTTCAGGAGATAAGATTCTTGAGACTTTGATCAGTTTTGGCTGATCCTGAGCTGTCATTCAGTGGTTTATATCCCTGGAATATATATATATATATATATATATATATATAGTCATGGTTACAGTATGTTCCTCCTCTAATATGCATGGATCTCTGCTCTTCAGAAAATAAAATAGTTGAACTTCTTTTATAAGATACCAAATCAAGATTAAGTTATTGAATAGTTTAAATACTGTTTATTATTATTACTTATTTGCTCTCTAGCAGTGAGGCAACACTATTATGGTGGATTTCTCCTTTATCACTTACTATATCCCATTTCCAGCACATCTGTTTTGAGCTATAGCACATCTTACTTATTTTTGTTCTCTGCATTAGTGTTTGCCAGCAGGTGGTCATGAGTACAACAGAATTTCTTTGCAAGCAGTCGGTACTACTGACAGGGTTTCTTTGGTCCTCTTGCTGTTGAATTATCAGGAGAATAGAGAGGAAAAACATTTTTAGAAAGCTGTGTTGGATGCCAAGTAGAAACAGAAGACTACTTCCATGAAGAAACCTTTCTTTACTAGGTACCTGATGCACTACAACTAGCTAAATATAAATAGCTTTATTAATATTCCTTACAGCTTCAGGCTTTGAGAATAAAAGCATTAGCTCTTACGACCGTAGTAGTTCTCATATAATCTGCAGCTCATTTCTGCAGCCATCATCTTTCATTTGTCAGCTCAGAAAAATTGACAAACTCAATGTAATGTCTGTTATTGACTGCAAAAGCTGCTATTTTCCTGGTAATTATCTTAGTTCACGCCACAAGTCTGAATTTAAATGCATAATTCAAATTCTTTTGAAGTTATGAGATTTTAGCCATTCCATTCCTCTGTATTATGTTTGGCAAATTTAGGTCCTATTTAACATTTCTAATTATTATTTTTTTTTTATATTCAAGGAAATTACACTTGTCAAGCTATTCCATAAATACATAATTTTGCAGTAAGAATTTATTCACGGAAACATATTGTCATCTTCACATAGGCAGAAATTATGAGTCAGCTCCTTTCCCCAATAAATTATTTCTTCATTTGCCTTGTGATTTAAGGGACTTTCAGACTCACTTGGTTTACTTTTTAAAAGTAGTTAAAATTCACTTTTTAACTACAAAGTCTAGAAAGAATGTTTTTTCTGTAAATGACAGCTCACATTTTCACACTACTATTTACTGGCTCAGCCTCTAAGTAAAACGTCAAATATCACAAGGTTGGAAATAAATAATCAGAAATGGTAATTATGAAAGCACCATAGAAAGAAGAACTTTGATAACTAATAGTATAATTAGCAACTGAGAAAGCAATGGAAATTAATGTTGACAAATTGTCCTTTAAAGTATACCTGGAGTTGCATTTGTTTGCAAAACTGAAAGTAAATCTGTTTTCTTGTGGAAAAAAAAAATCTAAATTTGAAACCAGAACAATATCATTAATTCAAATGACAGCTATTATTATTATTATTATTATTATTATTATTATTATTATTATTATTATTATTATTGTAAAATCCAGAAATGTAGCTTTCTAAATAAAGTAAACAACAGCCAGTCCATGAGATCCATTTGGATAAGAACTGAATTTTAAATGAATCTTGAATTTGAAATGTAGGCTTGCAAAATGTAGAAGTATTCTATTCTAGCATTCCTGCAAAAAGGTGAGGTAGGTAATCTGATGAAAAATTATGGAATGGTCATCTTAGACTATGAAAAAGTACAAGACTTTGTAAGAAAATGCTGACATATAGTGTGTATATATATGTTAATGTATAATACGTAATATGAATAATATGTAATTGTCAATTGTAAGTTAGTGATAGCTAAGATTAATTTTTTATATTTTATAAAAAGCTTTGAAAAGAGACTCAATAAAATTTTGCTTTGCCTCTGTAATTGGCATGTGATTGTAATCGGAATGTGATTGTAATTGGAAGTGCTTGGATATCAATGAATGTTATCTTCCTGACTAATGAAAAATTAAGCAATGTAAAGGGGAGTAACCTGAAATGAGGTCAGAGTTCCTGACGATTTTTTTGCAGCTGATTTCTGCAGATGAATCACTCAGGAATTTGTCTTGGAAAGGTAGGAAATGCCACAGACTATACAACTGTAAGGCTCCGTCATCCTACTGCCTGCCCAATGAAGTGAACCTAACCACTGTATGGGATATACTAATGAAATAAAACATCTGTGGGTGTAGTTTCTTCCCAAGCTCTAGGCAATTTATGTGTGTTTTATATTTTGAATCATGAGAGTTTATATCCCTCATACATTTTAATGCTATCTGAAGTAACTCTTACTATTATTTTTATTCATATAGAAACCAAAGTCTTTTAAAAGTGCTATTTAGCTCTCGTCTCTAAGATGTCTTTCAGACACAAGTTTATAGGTTAATTATGTATCAGATTTTTAAAAAAATCATTATTGTCTATTTTTTCTATGTGTCTTGTATTACAAAAAAAGAGTAAATAATGAAAAATATTTTACTTAGTCATAAACATTATGTATTACATCTTCTTTGGTAGTATTTCATTGTATCTTCATTCTCCTTGAACATGGAAGCATCTAATTGTCTTTGTTTCCTTCCATCGTATCTTTTCCCATTCTCTTGTATCCTTTCAAATTCTGGTAACAAGAATACTGAATACAGTATTTATGAAATGCTGATGGCAATATCTCACCTTGCAGTGTTTTGGAATAGCACAACAAACACAGATACACAGTTTATTTTTATTCCTAGTAATGTTATTCAGAGAATATGAATTTAACCTTATGTCTTGGCCAACAAATCTAATTCTTGAGATTCTTCCCAGGACTGGGTTAATGTGTGATTGTCCACTAGAGAGCAGGCTGAGACCAACAAACCCATTTTGTTCTTGTCATAAACTGACTTTGAACCCAGGTGTCTTAATGTAAATCGTTAGTACTTGAAAGCACTGCACCTTCTAGCTTCAGCTGTGAGTGTATATACTGCTATCATACTTGATGGATATAGCTTGTGAAGCTTAGTGACCTAAGGTGGTGATAATAAAGTATTCAGGAACCTGGATAACATTTTATTCTGTCAGTATGGTTTTCTTGCTCTGGTGACATCAACTAATTTGTACTGCTTTACAAGGAATTTCTGTATCCAGCTTTTTAGCCAGAGTCTCAGTTTCCTTACACCACTTTTACTTTTTTCTGTCAGACTGAATTTCTTTCAGAAAGAAAATATTGCTCAATATTGATTCCATTGTGCTAGCTAATTTCAGGTTCTTGTACTTCATCTGAAGCATCATTCAAAACCTAAAAGAATTTTCTAATGCAAAATCCAAATAAAATAACTCACGTAATATCGCCCAAAAAGAAAAACCTCCATTTTCTAATCCTTTAAAAAAACTAAGGTTAAATTAAAAGGCTCTTTGCATTTTAACCATAAAAAGTTACACTAACAAGGGTAAAGAGTTTTCAAAAAAAACATAGAATTCTTATATTTTTTCACCTATATTTTATTTTGCTTGTGTAAGACATTCATCTTCTGTGGAAAAATGCTGACCCCTGAGGACAGATACACCAGTGGAGAGATTTAGAGTTCTCCTTGCTATTCTCCCTACAGAACCTATTATAGGGGTATATAGGATTTTTTGTAGAAGTAATAGGGAGCCTCTTAGTTTGCTTCCCTGTAATTGAAGAATATCACATTTCAATTCCCTTTGCTTCCTCAGTTTTGAAAAAATAAAGTGCAAGTGTTATTTTAATTTCTTTATCTCCCTACGCTGCTGTGAAGGCTGGCCTTGAAAGACAATTTTTATTCAGTACTTTGAACCCTATCAATATTCTCTTGTATTCTGAAAAATAAAAAATTGAAAATATGTAGCTAATGCCTGTCCTCCCTTTCCATGATGTATAGTCCATCCACCTCGGAATTTGGTAACTGTTCCTTCTTATAAGGTCACATCCTCCTTTTTGCATCCTTTACCTAATCATATGTTTTCTATAGCCCAAAGCTGCTGTGGCTCCATGCTATAATTCCTCACTTACCATACACTGTTTTTGCTGTCTGAGTCAATACCTTTCTAATGTGAATATGCTTTCATTTATAATGGTTTCAAAGGTACATTATATATATATTTTTAATATGAATACAACCTGAAAGATAAAAAATCATGTTAGTAGAGACAAATACCCAGGTTGGGTTATTTCAGCCTGAACAAATCATGTTTGTCTGATGTAGACAACTAAAAGCAGAATCTCATAATGGGAAAGTGCCAGGAAATCTTGAGAATGAATCACACTGCCAACTCTGCTTATAAAATAAATTAGGTTTACTAATGATTATATTTCCCCTCATATCTATAGATGGAGCGCAGAGTTCCTGTTCTTCAAAGCTGGGATGTCAAATGTATTTCCTGACAGCTCCAGCTCACTTTTCATTATTGATAAGTTAAAGCATCGTGGCTGTTAGCTGCTCTTCGGTAATTAGTTCAATGAGTTTAGGAAACAGCCAGAGCTTGAGTAGGAATAGATGAAAAGAACTCACATATAATATGATAGTAGCACCTGAGCTCCCTCTGCCCTGCTGCCAACTAATGCTGGGACGTCATAAAATGAAGGCTCTCTGCCTTCTGCTGCACAGTTCGCTTGCTGCTCTGTCCTAGGAATTGAGCAGTTATTACTGAAGACAGGAAATACCTCTGGTGCTAATGAGTATTTGGGGAAATGGGAATACTGGCAAACTTGGAAGGCAAATAGGTCAAAGATCTCATCATGCTGAGGTGAGGAACAGGACAAAAATAGGGTGATAACAGCAGTTCTTTTTGTTTCTCTTAACTTAGTTTAATTTTGCAACCAAAGTGGTGTGTCTAAGAATCCTGAAATACTTGTCTATTTTTTTTTTAACCATGATCCAGAGGGTACCTGAAAAAGTAATTTATATCTTTCCACAGGATGGGTTTAGAATGCTTACTTAAAACTGTCCATGATAAAGCCCATATAAAGATGTAAGAAAACGATTCTGTAGAGCAGCTCTTATATGAAGATTTAAGTATTATCACACTGTAACAATGAAATCTAAAGGTACAGCTAATATAAATGAGAGGAAATGATACATTGAAATTGAAGAACTCTCTAATAGAAGAAAGCTAAAGCTTACCATAAACAAAGAAAAAATTGAAAGGAACAAGAAGAAAGGCGGAGAGAAAACCTACCTACTGAGGTAAAAGAAGAGAAGCATAAAAGGAACTTTTATCAAGGAGTTAAAAAAAAAAAAAAGACTATATAAAGCAAACCAGTCCCCTAGATATGAAGGGATACATGTGTTCAAGATTACTTATATGTGATGGCAGAGTAAAGACTTCTTTCTTCAGAATGTGTCTGATGCAGTGAGTACAGGTCATCTTATAGTCCAGCTAGAGTTACTACAAGTTGATGCATTGTAAGAGATTTGGGCACTTAGGCAAAGTTGATGGAAGTAACATAAAAAGCCACGGCATCATAATAGGAAACCATGGTAAAGTGGAAGGTACAGAAGTTGAAAATAATCTTCTTAGTTATCAAAAATAGCCTTGAAAAATAAGGGGAAGATAACAGGAGAGATAGAAAGCTGTGAAGTACGTAGGCAGGTGCTGAATACAGAAGCAGTATGCCAAGAAAGTGAAATATTATATTGAAAGCAGAAAATTAATTTCTCACTTCTAATGAGGGAATAACTGTGATTATGACTAGTATGGGTGGGCAAAGAAGGTCATTCATCTTTTGGAAAAAAACATGAGGGTTGCCAAAAGACTTACAGTCTGAGACTTTGTATCTCAGTTTACTTTCCAAAGGATGACCTAGCAACATTATCTGGGATTTATTCTTGATAGAAGTATGAAGAGATCACATGCGGTATCACCGGTTTTTCTAGCACTTGTCTCAGTCCTGTCAATTATGCTACCTTGCATAAACAGGGAATTTGGCTTGCAAGGGCAGGTATGAATGGAACAAGGAATTTAAAAAGTAGAGGACTGATCAGAGTCATAAGTAAAAACATTAAAAAAATAGAGAAAGCAGCAGCAAACAAGATATAGAAAGAACAAATCTAGCTGGAGAATATACTGATATCAAAGTAATGATGAGGCGATCAGGACACTGGGAAGAGAGTATTTCCTGATATTGGAATGGTCAGTACGAATAAAACAAGTAAACAGTTAGAATTAGCAAAAACACTATACGTTCTTAAAAATTTTAGGTGAGATGAAAATTTGCTGTGATGCTAAAAATCGAACAGAAAACTGTTTGTTACCCCAGTGAGAATAAAGCGCAAATAAAAGGCAAATGTCTGAGAAGACACTTAGCTGCTATCAGCAATGTGAGAAGCTGGATTTAGGGAGTTGATAAGCCATGGAAATTTTGAGTCTGGAGGACAGAGAATGTGGTATTCAAAATAGATAGTGTTAGACTTGGACAGGAAGGAAGAAAACTTAAATCTAGCTCTCGGTTGTAGGTAAGGTAATACACAAATCAGCAAATCTAAAAATAATAAAGAGAACAGATTTCCATTTGGCCTTGAAAATCAGAGAAATACCTTAGTATTGCATGGATTCTGTCAGAGATGCTCAACATGCACAGTTTTACTGACTGCATCAAGTGTTTTTGGCATTCTGTGTTCACAAACCTGTATAACTGTAGGCATCTAAACACAGACTTGACATCCTGAATTTTGGCACTTGAGTTTGTAAACAGTGGGTTTGCAACAGGCTTGTACCTGCACCAAATATATCACAATATCATCCTACTTAGTTTTGATCAAAGGATGGTAATAATTTAAAACTCCTGTTGCAATTCTGAAATGCTTATGCTCCCTATACAAAATGATATGTTATACAAATCCAACAGGTTTTTGCAGTCTATTAATGGGCTGCTTTACTAACAAGCTGTTGCAGCTAACCCTGTTTAGGTCTTCCAGCAAGAGGGTTCCATCAATAGGAGTTTGTTCACAGAACAAAGCCTTACATTGCTACAAATGTCATTTGACCAGTGAGGAAGTCATAAATTCATGATTAAATTGGCTATAGAAATTGAGAAGTTCAGCATATATGAGCAGCTGCATTTGCATTGAGTGTGTTCTCAGTGTCTAAGCAAGTACGGAAGAAAAAGTTTAACCCAAGTAGAAATTCCTATTTGGAAAAATATTTGGATGACGAGACTTGCCTAAAAATGACCCCTTCTCTAACTATGAAAATTATCCTGTCAGCTAGCTGTATTTCTCTGAAAGACAGGTAAGAACCAGATGTAAACAAATAGGCAGATATAGACATATTGTCATATTTATTTGATTTTTTTTCTAAATTTAGTTATTAGTTTCTGAAAACATCATACTATTAGAGAGAAAAAAAAAAAAAAGGCAAAAACTCAGCAATTTCTTTTTACTTTTGCCTTAAGTTTGGGGATTGATTTTAGGGTCATCTAGCAAACTGTATACTCCATAACCTGGCCAATAGCAAACATTACTCTCTGAGTAAACTTCTGTATATGTTACATTAACAAAGTTAAAAGTGTGTGTTTGCAGGCAGAAAGAATATGGGGAGAAGGTCTGAAGCCTGGAGAGGGTCTGAAACCCCAAACTCAACTTAGTTTGCTTTTATCAAAACCAACAAAAGGTAGAAGATGAACATTTCCTAAGCATTAAGCTAAAAATATAAACATCCTGACAGATGGTTATACATTTAGCATGTCTTTCAAAGTTGCATCGCTTCTCATTAAGAAGAGCATCTAAAATATTTGTAATCAGCTCAGATTGTTTATTGACATCTATACAGCAAGTTCACGATACTTCATGCTCAGGGCTTTCATCTATGAAATCAGAGACAACCAGAAAAAAAACAAAAAAAAAAAACAAAAAAACTATAAAAGAGTACCTGAGGTACTCCATTCTTCTTCATATACATCCTGCTTCTGTGGAACAAACAAGGAATGTGTAAGGAAGGGCTAAAATGTCAGATACAAAATTAAATGAAATTCAGCCTATTTGAGTGCATGCCTTTCTTAACAGGGGCTTTGAGGTAGAGCGTTCCAGTTCTATCACAAAGATCTGAATGGTCCTGAGACAGATGAAGGATGCAAATAGACTTCTAGATCACAGTGTAAAACAAAGGTAGTAGAGATGAGGATTCAGACAATTAGCTGCAGAGGAGCTGCAAAGTAGGCAGACACCAGAAAAGTCTTAGTGAACAGACCAGGCTGCAGTACTTTGCCCCATACCTGTAGGAAGACGAGCTAACTGCCCTCAGTGCAACCCTATGTTTATACCACAGTGTCCTGGAAGCTGGAAAACATGATAAATTCAAGGTAGGGAATAGTTTGTAAGAACTCTTAATCTGTGTTCACAGAACAGAAAATCCATCATTCAGTGCATATGATCAGCATATAAGCGCTGTTTTTGAAAGGTTAGTAGTTGTTATGGTTTGCCCTCAGAATCTTAATTATGAAAAATAATAAATATGGCATAGGCAATCGTAGCACTATTAATTTTAATTCATACTTCAAGAGTGCAGAAACACATACACAGATAGTAGCAAACTTTTTGAACTGCATTATGCTAAATTTTTCTCCAGATTAATTAAATGAGTGCTCTTTAACTCTCTTCGTGATCAGCCATAATCAGGCCTTTCATTTCACCTTCAGGCTCATGTTTTCCTGACTGATGCTACCTTCATTACATTTCTTTTCTTTTTCTTGCATTTAAATTGTTCCTTTTCATGAACATTAGTTGTCTTTATGAAATTGTGAACATGGAACTGTTACAAACCAAAATAACTGTATGCTTTCCACTCTGACAGCTGAAAAACTTAGAAAACAGGCTGCTTATGCCGAGTTTTCTCATTACAACTAAATAG